CAGTCCCATATTTTTTTAATTTAAATTAAATTTATTAATATTATATATATATATATAATAATTATTTTTAATATTTATCGGGTCGGATATCGGGCCGGGTAATCGGGTCAAGTAATCGGGTAATCGGGGCGGGGATTACCAAACCTGTCCCCGTCCCCGTTTAACATAAACAGGTTTTCCCCGTCCCCGTTTATCATCCCCGAACCCAACCCGTTTAATTCGATTTTCGATTTTCTCCGTCGGGTTCAAATTTTTTTTTGCCATCCCTATCTATAGAGATTGGGTTTTTAGATTAATCATGTTTAGCTATTTAACCACTTTTTTTTGGTACAAGTATTCTACACCCATATTAAGATTCCCCTTGATATTTTTAGGGGTAGAGTATAAGATTGTTAAAAAGATAAATTGTAAATTTCATCATTCAATTTTGATCGTATTTCTAGTTTGATCATTAAATATTAAATATTTTCAATTTAAGCATTTAACCTTTTAATTGTTTCATTTTTGTATCAATTGGGAGTCGAATTAGAAATATCAATGTGACATAATCGCTTACTAATGTGAAACCACCCACTGGCCACGTCATTGTTTTGTTTTCTTTTTTCTTTCACATAAAGATTAAACGCCTAAAATTTCATCTTTATGTCATGTTATTGTTAGAATCACCATTCTCCACCATCTTTATTCACATAAGACACCGAAAAATTCGCCTATCCATCCTATCACTCTATTGTTTATATTTTCTTAAAATCTCTTTAAAACTCACAAAACTCAATCCAAAATATAGAGAAAAATTACTTTAAAACCCTTCATTGTTCAATCAATATTGAATCAAGATATATAGTTCATTTTTACCTTCTCCACCTTCTCACAATTGAGATTTGAACAAAGATGTTCTATCGTCAAAAAAATCTAAAAGCATGGGTTTTAATAACATAATGACAAAAGGAATAAATTGAAAGTTCAGTGATCAAATTAATTTTTTTTTTAATTTTTTATGATCAAAACAAGAATATGATCAAAATTGAGTGATGAAATTTATAATTTGCCCTCGTTAAAAATGCATTTTCTCAACCACAAGTTTAAATATTTCACTTCCATTAGAGATAATTTTGTCGTGTAATGGACTCCCATGTATATAAAGAAAACCTTGGGTCATAAAACATATAATTTTTTTTCCAATTCCAATAAAGCCTTATTATATATGTGTCCATTTTCTCCCAAACTTCTCGGCCATCGTCCAAAAATGTGCAAAGGTTTACACCAAGGGAAAACGTCCGGTTCTTGCCTGAAAGACAGCGTCTCGCCGGACGCAAACAATGTTTCAAGTTCGGTGAACTGCGAGCTCTGCGACTCAAGGGCAATCTTATATTGTCAAGCCGACGACGCTTACCTGTGCCGGAAATGTGACAAGTGGGTTCACCAAGCTAATTTCTTGGCTTTCAGGCACATAAGGTGTTTCCTATGCGATACATGTCGGAATCTAACGAACAGATACCTCATCGGAGCTTCACGCGGGGTGATGTTACCGACGACGGTGAGTTTGTCCGAGAGAAGACACTGTGACTTCGACATGGAAACAAACCATTCGACAAAAACACCTTTTATTTTTCTTTGATTGTCTTTAGTTTTGGTTCAATAGGGGCTCTTGTTTGGTCTGTCTGAAAAAGTATTTGTCAAACTAAGTAGAATCTTGAATGGTTACATATATAAGCAACATATATATATATATATATAAGGAATAGGCAACATTCAGAAACAAGAACAAACTGAAACTACTGTAATCCATGTGTAAACCAGATTGAGTTTCATCATTAGTGCATATCTGTTCTTTGTTAAGCATAATCTCATGATTATCCTTCTTCTGATTTTCTTTCTTTTTTTATTGGGAATTTAAAGCACTTGATCAACTGATCATCAAGAAAACAATTAGGAATTGTGTTTTTTCTTATTCTTTTAATTAAGAATTGTCTTATAATTACCTCGTACTAATATAAAATAGATATGTAAAACTAGGTTTACTTGGTCCGTAACATGGATATAAACGAGGATAAAAGAATTAAATAGTCGAATTGCTAAAATTTATAGCCACTTCCTTAAAGTGAGTTTTTTTGTCCATCATTGAGATATCCAAATATTTTAATAAAAATATGTTGAGATATTCACATTTTAAAATGTTAATAGAAAATAGCATACACTTGAAAAGATTTTAAATCGGTCTAAACATGCTTAATTAAATTATTCGGGTAAAGTACACAAATGATCCTCCGACTATAACATATTATTTTATTAAATCTTCCAACTATTAAAAGTTATGAAATAATTATCTCATTACTTTGTGGGGTCCTTTGACTATTAAAAGTTACAAAATGATCACCTAACTATGCTCCAAATTCATCCTTTTCTTTTAAAAGTTAGACGATAATCTGAGTTGTACGTTAATCTGGTGAGTGAGATGTGATATATTTTGATTTCATAATCTCAAACGACTATCATATCTCGATTAACATGTCAATGGCCAGCTCAAACGATCATTAATTTCTTAATGGAAAAAGATGAGTTTGGAACATAAAGAATAGTTGAGTGACCATTTTGTAACTTGTAATAATTAAAGGACTAAACAAAACAATTCCCTATAGTTGAGGGACTATTTTATAACTTTTAGTAGTCACAAGGCTTAATAAAACAATATCCTATAATTGAGAGACCATTTGTATATTTTACCCATTTATTTATTAAATCATGATTATTGGAATTGAATCGGATCAATTGTTTAAATTAATTGGAGTAAGAAAAGGTAATATAAATGGTTGAACTGACGCGATAAAGTCGGAAATTATGTGAACCAATGGATATGTTAAAAGATAGAGAACAAAGAAAAAAACAACCATTTAACTGGTTGAATTAATTTTTTAAATTTTGTATTTAATTATTGTTAAACCATTGATTCAATCAATCATATTATATAAATTAGTAATTTGATTAATTTAATCATTTGTTTAATTTTTACCACATAAATTAACATGTTAATAAATTTAATAATCTTATATTTTAAGCGAACCAAATGACCGTAGTAGATAAAAGAATGATTGTTATCCCTAAAGATTTCAGGTTCGAACACCAATAAATATCATACTAGTTGAACGTTCATTATTAAATAATTAAAAGAATTTGGAATAGATAATATCACTGATAAGGTGTTAATAAAAATTAATCTTGTATTTTTAATACATTGAAAGGGAACTTATGGCTCACACATTCCCCTGCGCCTTGTGGACCCTAGGCATCTCAAACGAGCTTAATCATGTTTTCTTTCCAAAATAATTGCGGTCTTTAACCCCTTTTTGGGGCAAATTAATTGAGCATTTGAGTTCCCCCTAATCATATATTTAGGGTTGGTGTATAGCATTGTCAAAAAAGCATTTTCTCAACCACTAGTTTTAAACTCTTGTTCGGTGTAGTATCACGTAAGATTAAGGAAGACCCACGCCTTCTTAGAGGTGGTTGAGGTTCTTTGTTGCTACTATAATCATCAACGATTGCAAATTAAATGGATGATAATAATGACGTGTTGTTGGGTCTTAATCACATTACTAAATAAGATAAAAATAAACAAAAATTATATTTGAACACTTTTAAAAAATTTGTGTTACAATTATTATTATGGTGGATGAAGTTAATATCAGATATTGCGAGGGGCGAAAATTTATTAAGTATTAGAATATGAAAATTGAGAGAGACAAATTTATTGAGTGACCTCAGTGATTAAAAGGAGTGTTACCTTCTCTCTTGAGATAATGGGTTTAAATAATTGTGTTATTAATAACTAAGATTATGAACATATATTACCTTGCAATTACTCCTACTATTAAAAAAGCAAATAATTATAAGAAATAAAAAAATGTGACCCTCAAATTATTTTTACACGCATAAAATATTACTCTATCGAAACATTTGAAGGGCAGCAACCCTCTCATCCGACAAATAATTTCATCCCATCCAACAAATGACTAAGAATTCTTTTGTTTGCACAATTTTGTTGCTAATCAAATTGACGGAAAGAAAATTTTGTATGATTGGTGATGTAGTTGCGATAAGGAAAGACTGAAGTCACCTTAGGTATAGTAATGTATCAAATTTATCTCACTCATAAGTGTCCAAGCCATATTTAAAATTAATTTTTAGTGTTTAAATTTGTTGAGGTGATTAATAGTTTTTTTATTATATTTTTAGGTATTTATCATTAAAAATGACTGTTAAGTGACACATACCGTTTTCATTTTTTTTAAATGATATTTTAATTTTTTAAAAAATCAAAAGAGATAAATGTGACACGTCACTTAACGAGTTTTTTTTAATGATAGACACTTAAAAGTGTAACGGAAAAACATTAAACACCTATTTTCAACAAAAATATTATTTAAACACCAAAAATTAACTTTAAGTATAATTTAAACACTTATTTTTGTTTATTTTAAGTAAAAGTTAAAAAACGTACTACTCGTGAAGGTTTGATGCATTGAATTATTTAGAAACCAACCAAAATCATCGCCAACGGAAGCAACAATCTAAAACTGAGCACTCGGTATCATATCCGATTGGTGATCAGTAGAGAATAATTATAGGATAAAATTATAATGTATTTTATTTTTAAAAGATATTAATTCAAAACATGAAAACAGAAAATTCATATTATGATATCATAATTTAGTACCTTATTTATTTATTTTTACTTTGTACATAAAAAATTTAGGTCAAGAGTGACTCCTCCAAATTCGTTAAAAAAACAGTTTTTTTTTACCTTATTTAATTAATATACCACAAATTCGTTTGTGTGAACAACAGCGGCAAAAGACCAACTAAATTGATAAAACACAACGCAGCCACTAAATAAGTGGCAAATCCAAAGCAATAAAATACAAGTTTCACCCACTGGCCCAACAAAGAAGATGAGAGGATTTTATTGATCATTCAAGGATGATTTCCCTTCTCATACTCCAATTTTCACCTCTCAAGGCTTCCAGATAATTGTGGTCTCAGCAATCATCGATGTCACGACATACGGATCCATGTTCGATGCCGGCCTTCTGTCTTCGAAGTAGCCTGTCAATGACAAGGACCATGAATGTTAAATTCAAGGATTTCAAGACATTGTGCATTGGCATAATAGTTTGGACATTACCTTTTCCGGCCTTCTCGGTGTCACGGCCAACACGGATAGAGGCTCCCCTGTTTGCAACACCCTGGAGTTTGGACATGGCGGTATTGTGTAATAAGAAAATGGGGATGTGATATGAGAAATTCAATGTCATTCTGGCTTACTGCTAAAAAGGAAAGTGCTGAAGGCATAATTAACTTACCCATGAGAATGTATTGATATCTGCAGTCTCATGACGGCCGGTTAGGCGTCTTTCATTACCCTCTCCGTAGGCAGCAATATGTTCTTTGTGGCGCAAGCCTAACTTCTCGATCGCCTTCTTGATAACATCGATGCCACCGTCGTTTCTCATGGACTTTGTGCTGAGAGGAAAGTTTCATTTCAACTGATTTAATTCTTTATCCATCCAAAAGGGCATATACTTGGTAAAAAGAAGTGCATATTGATATACCTGTAGTTAGTATGAGCTCCAGCACCATTCCAGTCACCCTGGTTATGGAGAGAATAATTTGGTAAAAAAGAACATAAAAAGGAAAAGTTGAATTCAAGGGGAAATGTAAGCATAAAACAAACCGGGATGGGTTTAGGGTCGAAAGAAAGAACCACTCCGGTGATCTCTGTGATTCTCTGTTTAAACAAGAAAACACAAGTCATTGTTCATCTTCAATCCTTAACAGGCAAATTCATTGATCGAATGCAGTACTAACATACGGATCATACCTCGAGAATGTATCGAGCAATCCATATTTGATCACCTGCAGATATTCCAACAGATGGACCAACTTGGAATTCCCACTGTTTACACAATCACAAGACGAGATAAATCATGGATCTTTCATGGAAAATAAAGCTGGATAAAAAAACACACTTTTAACGAAGAATGGCAAGACGTACTTGACCAGGCATAACTTCACCGTTGATTCCACTGATGTTAATGCCAGCATAAAGGCAAGCCTTATAGTGGGAATCCACAATGTCCCTTCCGAAGGACTTATCAGCACCTACTCCACAGTAGTAGGGACCCTGTATGGATAATAAAACTTGGTTTAGATTATCAGTTTCATTGAATGAAAACAAAATGCTTAACAGCAAAACATAACATAATATAATCCATTACCAGTGTATTTAATATTAATCTAAAACTATATTATTAAACACGGGATCAATAAAAAATATATATAATTTGACAACAATACCTGTGGTCCAGGAAATCCTCCAACAGGCCATCCAAGAGGCCACTTTGTATCTTTTTGAAGAAGAGTGTACTCTTGCTCAATGCCATACCTGGTTCCAAAATGTACAGGTTTCAATCAATCAACCAACAAATTATTATCGTAAATGAACATCTGAAAACTATAGAGGAAAAGAAAATTCCAATGAAACTTGTCAATGTCAAACTTCGAAGAAAGTCCCTGTTGCTTTAAATTTTTTACTACTCTTCTTACGAAACTCTAAAGAAAAAAAACAAAACTTCCACTATTAGTTTATTTTTAAAGAAAAATAGTTCAACAACCCAAAGGGGGCAGGGAATGAATTAGCTGACTTCGAACCATTGACTTCATCATTAGCACTGCCAAACCCAACTCAAAGTTAGGTGAAAGACAGTAGGTGGACATCAAATCAACTGAAATTTTACATACTACCTAACTACATTTTATTTAATTTGAAAAAAAAATCACACTGCACATTTAAAATTTATTTAGTTATTTGATAATTTCGATCTCTATGGAATCCCTAGGCCTACACCTTAATAATGATTAATAAATTATTTTTATTGAATTCAACACAGCAATAATACATTAAATGCAAATAAAATAACCCTTATTAAAGGACCCTGCTCTATTTCTCTTATTTGCATCGGTTGAATTCTTTTTATTTCATTTAACAATTCCATTAAATCTGTATATATAACTGAAGAGTCGGCAAAACAGGGAATCATTTTAAGATGGTGCATCATGTGATAACAAAACATACAGAAGCAGCCAAAATTTGATAATTTAAAATACGGCCAGCTTTAGTTTCTAGTAATCAGCGATAGCTTTGTACTTGCCAAAAGAACAACGGATATGGCCTATGTTTGAAATATAACAAAAAGAGAAATATAGAAAAACAATATATCAATCAAAGCACAAGATATTTTAAGCTTTGGGAAATTTTAAAAAACACTATTAATACTAATTTTGCTTATAAAATGATTATGTTGTCAATAAATTATAATTGATCGGCAACATAACTCTTTTCAATTTCATATAATATAAACTATTAATATACTAAAACCTACATGATTTTATAAAATATATGATTATTAAGAAGCCAAACAAATTTGTGGCTTTCTTCATTCGTTGGAAGTATAAAAAGCACCCCTCCCACCTACCCTTGTGGGTCAAAGAATCTCTATACTCCACAAAGAAAAAGGCCACCAAACCCACCATGATTGGCCTTGTGGAAGTGAAGATATTTTAAACTTTCGACCTCCAAACTAAAATTAAGGTGAAAGATAATTATTATTTCAGAAAATAAATTATCTATAACACTATATTTTGAAGATCCCACTTTGGATTTATCTCTATTTTTTTATAAGAACTCTATAAAAAATATTAAATCAAATATCTTATTTTACTGATTATATTTTAAAACTTTATTTGTATTACCTATATAAAAATATAGTCTCTTTAAAGTATGAATAATCACTTAAAAATTCTTTTTTATAAATATGAGGTGCATATAAAGTTTAAAAAATTCTCAATCATTTAACAATAAAAGCTTATATTTCTAACATAAGTGGCGTTCGAAATTAGGAAATTAAAAGAATAATAACAAATCTCTTAATTATTGTCATGCTCAAAAATATTCCCGAATACACTCTTGAAATCAAAAGGTTAAAAAGGGAAAATCAATTACCATGGCTCCTCGGCGACAACGTTGGGGTGGCTAAAGATCTTAGCCGCATTACATCTCTTGTTTGTGGGAAGGGGTTCACCGGCCGGTGTGTAAGCATCGCACATTACCTAATACATGCGATTAATAAAATATTCATATTATTAAAAGGAAAAATCAATTACCATGGCTCCTCGGCGACAACGTTGGGGTGGCTAAAGATCTTAGCCGCATTACATCTCTTGTTTGTGGGAAGGGGTTCACCGGCCGGTGTGTAAGCATCGCACATTACCTAATACATGCGATTAATAAAATATTCATTATTATTGTCAACGTCCAAAAGACATAACTATCCCTCTTGACTTTGGATTTAGATCAAAATCATCATTAATTAATTAAAGCAAAAAGTAAAACAACGGAGAGAAAGCAGTAGCGTGCAAGAATCAAATTACCAAGATGTTGTTTCCTTTTCTGAATGGATCCTTGAATATAGCTTGAGGGCTGGTTAAGTCAAAAATAAACACGGAATCTTAATCTTAATCAACAAACAAGTCTCGAATATACTTTTTTCCTTTCAAAAGTCATGAACTAGATCGATAGCCAAAATGAAAGGAAAAGGAACTCACTAAAGAATGACCTCACTGTCCTCTCCAGGTGCTTGATTTGTGCTGGAACCATCGTAGTTCCATTTGGGGAGTTTCGAAGGATCCGTAACCGGTCCGGGCAAAGTCTATACAAAAGAAGCCAATAATTTCTTATTTTCATAACAAAAAAGAACGTGTGATAATCAATAAATAAAAGTTCAAAAAGTGAACCGCACCCTCGCTTTGCTTCTCAAATCCATCCCAGATCCACCGATCCTGAAACAAAAATCGACGAAACATTTAGTTTGATATTGAATCGAAAAGGAAGAAGAAGAGAGAGAGAGTTGACCATATATATTCGGCTATGATCTTGTCGGTGGTGAGGCTGAGGTCGAGGTTGATCAGATCATTGAGGAGCGACATGGCAGATCCTGCTGCGATTGGGCTACCCAGTTAAAAGGGACTATAAAAGGAGAGTGGTGAGCAAAAAAGGGTATGATCGGTGGACACTTAAATAGCCGGGGGCGGGAACAGAAATGGGTTCCAGGAAAGTCGTGGGAAGACCTTCAAAGCAAGGAAAGTATACAAGAAGATGGGACCGTACAATAGCTAAAATTAATGACAAGAAAATGAAAGAACCAAGGAGACAGCCATATGCAAGTCGTGCACCGAATAAGTTAATAAATTAATGAAATCTACAAATTATCGTAGATAAACTATTTACTATAGTTGTATTTTGATCATTCGAACATTTTTTTAATAATATGTATCTTTACATATTAAAAATTAAACTAAAATATAACGTTAAATTTAGAAAAAAATAATTAAGCGATCAAATAAAAGATATAAATAGCTAAATAATTAAATACGTAATTTACTTGTTTCCTAAATTATTGTTAAATAGGTGTATATGTTTTGGTAAATTATCAAAACTGCTTGATTTGATTAATAAATTTAATTAATTCAATCTTAAAATAAATTAATTTTTATATATAAGAAGAAAGATTAAACTATTATATTAAGGTTTTACACGTAGGTAAAAGACCATTAATGCTCTTATCTAAGATATAAAACAGTTGCAGTGAATTGGGTAAAAGAAAAAGATTTTTTAGTTAATGGAAAAACTTGTAAAGCAAAGATCGGGATGTGATGGTGGTGCACAACGTACGAAAATTTTAATATACGATTAAAAAAGATGTTATTATTATTTTTTTTAAATAATAAAATAAATAAAAAATGATCAAAAATATTATTATTTCGATCGATTCTGTAATTATTATTAATTACCAATATAAATAAATTTAATAAAAAATTTAATAAAAAATAATATTTTCGATAGAGCGCTAGTTATATAAGATCTTCCACTACAGCCACGTCAAGGAGATCCAGGTCACAGGATAGGTTCCTGTTGATTGAATATATTCTTATGTAATTTATATTCCTTGAGCTTTAAGAGTGCAACCGGTTGAAGTTCAAGAGCTGAATTGTTGTTGGTTTAACCACGTGGCTGAATGTTTTATATTAAATATTGGATGTAAGATTTTATATTAAATTATAAATAAAAATAAATATTTAAATTATTTAAAAAAATTAGAATTTTTAAAAAAATTATTGTCACCGTCAATTTCTTTCGATTCATCTTCAACGATATGATAATTTATTTTATAAATCAAGGAAGCCCTCAGCTTTATGTTTGATTTCGTTAACCTATTTGCACCCAACTTTGAGAAGGTGTACGAGGAATAAGTGTGTGCCATTTCGAAATTAATTTATCACATCATCAATTAAATATATATAAAAATATCATATTAATAACATATATTAATTATTAATTAACTTACAGTTTTTATCTAATAAAATTATTTTGATAAAAATTAAAATATTGAGATTAAAATATTCCAACAAAAATAAACCTATATAGATATTGGGTTTAATTTTATCATTATGTCTTAAATATAAATTCATTAAAATAAAAACTATTTTCTAATAAATTCAGGTTTTTCTAATATTTTAGTAATTTTCATAAAAATAAATAATAATTAATTATCACAGTAAATATTAAAAAAATAAAGTATTAATACTAAAAATATCTTTAATATTTGATTAAATAATCATTTTGACTCATATATTCTGAAGTACATTGGCCCTCAAACATTTCATTTTAAGACAAAAAAGCTTCTAAGTTTGACTAATAGTCGCTTTAACAAATTTTCTTTTTATTTGCAGCATTTTGGCGTCCAACGCTTTACATTAGGGCAAAAAATCCCTATTTTAAAACCTTAATCATTTGTTAACTAACGATTTTAAGGGGCATGTTTGCCTCAAAATGAAATAGTATGGGTCAAAATGTTCAAAAATAAAAGAATATGAGTTAAAGTGTCTATTTCGTCAAACATTAGGGGTATTTTTTTATAAGGGTAAACTACGCCAATGGTCACTAATGTTTGGGTTAGTGTTTATTTTCATCACAGGTGTTTCAAAAGTCAAAATCAGTCACTAATATTATCATTTGTTACAAATTGGTCACTCAATGATAATTGTTGTTAACCTCAGTTACGGAAAGGTGAGTTGGATCGTTAAACTCTTATTTGTACTGTCAAGTGCCACGTTGGAGATCCCGTTTGACTCATGTTGACTGACACTTCAACCAATTACAGCAGTAAAGCTCTATCCACTAATGTGAAACATCTCCTTAATTGCTAGCACCTTGGCCATCGCCACCTTCACCTCTCTCACTCTTCTCATGTGTCCTCATGCTCGTCATCAACTTATCTTCATGTGAAAAGCTTACTATTACCAGCCATGGCAGTCTCACGGAACAAGAAGTTTTTTACATCAAGCAATGACGGTTTGTCTACTACAAAGTTCGACGACATAGGGGAAGCGGTCATTGGCGTCCCATCACTCATTTTTGAAAACTCAAGGCTTAGAAATGCTTACATAGGTTTACAAGCTTGAAAGCAAGCTATCGCCCCTATAATGTCACCTGTAACTGGGTCGGATTTAATATATGAAACTATGTCAGTGTTTACTGCATTATGACAATTGATAATGGCACGATCAGAACCGTCACTGACATTGACTTGAATCATGGTGATATCGTTGGGTACTTGCTGGAAAAGCTTAGATTTCTTACTAATCTTTCATTGTTCCATATCAACTCAAATCGGTTATGCAATACTCTTCCTCATAATATGTTGTTTGGTAAGATTCTGGCGAGTATTTTTTGGTTGCCAGAGCTAGAAAACTTTATGTTTTCCTATAATTTCTTCACATGAGAGCCGTCGATTTTCCTGACATTACAGGGCTGTGATTGTAACACCCCTAACCCGTACCCGACCCGGATACGTGTCTGAGGTGTCACATTGACTTTTCAAACTTTGACTCTCGACAAAATTCAAAGAAAATTTAAATCTTTCATTAAAGTAAAAGCGGTTCAGTTACATAAATTGACCACAATACCCAAAATCAATCAGAGCATAACTAATTCAACCAATTAGTACATGCCAACTATACTCAAAATAACCAAAAACATTTAAATCCTCTATTTTCTTATCTGAAATTTTGTAAGGGAGGTGCTGACCTGTCTTACTCTTCTTCTCTTCTCTTCTCGCTTCTGTAACGTACGTGTGAAACAATTACACGCTAAGTCGATGACTTAGTGAGGCATAAAAAAACACATATAATGAAATTCATACCCACTAATCATGCATGACTGTTTTATGCTATCAAATCATATAGCTCATTTACATATACATCAACATATATATGCACTTGTACCATGTCACGAGAAACACACATATCATTATATCAAAACATATATATATTTATGTACAATCATTTCTATTATTATCAATTTGTACATTAGTCCTTATAATTTTATACTCTTATCCATAATATCCTTAATTATCACATCATAGCACATATATCAGTTCACAACGAACTAAACATATAATCATACCAAGTTTATTTATCTTATTATTTTTATTAGCCCATGAACACATGTGAGAACTATAGATATGTGAGTCTATAGAGGTTGTGCACTAATACTGTCACCACAACTCGTATAAATGCACCGAAGTGCCACGTAGAATTGCACCGTAGTGCCGCGTAGAAATGCACCGAAGTGCCATATAATAATGTCCATAAGGACCACATATCATTCCTTAAGAATCATATACATATACTAGGGATCAAGTATGTGTCTCACAAGACTTCACACATGTTTCAAAGAATATATATATGTCCCGAAGGACCGCGTAGACCCTCGACTCTTGGCATGCCAATTATACCCCTAGCTCTCATGACACATAACATGGGCATTATCATTTATGTCATTTCACATGTTCACATATTCATATTACCTGGGCATGTAGTCTCATAGTTTTTGAACATAGCTCATTATCACATTTTTCATATAATCACATAGTCACATAGTTCACTTACACGTAGATCATTTCCATATAATTCACATGTTACATATCTCAGGTTCTTGTATTCATATAACATATAATCACATAGATTACTTTCACATATACATGTTCTCATATAGTTTCTATCATTTCTCACACAATCACATTTATTCATGTATAGTATTTCATCTAAACTGTATAATAATGGCATATACTCATATCACCGAATAACTTCACCTGAATATATCTTTTGTTCATTTCAATGCTTAAATCATATAACACATAAGTTTTCCTTATGTAATGTATGCTACTTATTCATATAATCTTATGTTATCTCCTAGGTAAATGCTACCTAACTAATCTCATTTTCCATTTATACCAGTTTAATCTATTTATTTAGTTAAATTTTACTTAAATCCTATATCATAATTCTCTTTAAATATACTTCTTCTCTACAACACTTATCTTATTGTTTGACATCATCATTTATACTCAATTCCCTTCACTAATATATTATTCTTATATTACTCTATAGTCTAATCTTATTTAACTCATCACCCTTCTCTTGTAGTCATATAAATCTATTATATTGATTCTTATAATTGATCATATTTACTATGTAACATGTATGGTCACCTATCATATAACCTATTTCACATTCTCATGTAATCATATAGATCATTCATATTAATTCCTATAACTTATCACACTGCATGCATTCACAAAAATCATTTAATACATACTATAATATATATATCACATATACCCAAATCAAACATATGCATATGATCATACATTCAGGCCTTCTAATATAGGAAATAGACTTGTCGCAAGTCTTATTTCCGTTAAACATCATAAACTAACTTGTATGCACTCACCTGGCCTCACTAGTCAATTCCAATCTCTTATCTTTCCCCTTGATCGATTTTACTTGTCAATGATTCTGGAACTTGATTAGGCTCTGAATCTACATAATTATACATTTTAAGATAATTATTAGATACCTACACCTTGTAATTTGATATTAACAACTTAAACGAACTTATTAAACCAATATTCACATTTTTCCTTTAGGGGGAATCGGTTCCCTACTATGGGGATATCGATTCCCTCATGACATTCTGGAAATTTTTGGTTGTTTGAAGGGGTATCGGTTCCCCTTGAATGGGTACCAATTCCCCTTGCCCAGAAATCATATTTTTAGCTCGAAAATCACTTCATTTTCAGCTCAACACTTCATACTTCACTCCCTTTAATATTCCTAATTTTCATACACATGCTTAAACTCATTTCTACTCCATAATCACTTCTTTAAACTCAAAATTCTATCATTTACATGGCATTCAAGAATCACACTAAATTTCCAACATGTTCTAAAACTCATTCTATCACTTCATATCTCTTAATTTAACCCTTGACAAGTCAAATTAAACTTCAAAACTATTAACTCCTTCTATTTCAAAAATTCACTTAAAAACTGATTTTTCTTAATTTCTCATAACTTGATAATCTTTGAGTTTTAAGCCACCTAAAGCTTTCCTTAATCTTTCTTAACATCCCAAGAATCAAAACAAGCTTTAAAACGAAAGAATTAACCAACTGAAGACCCACTTACCTTATACAAGGCTTCACGGTGGAGAGGAGGAAAAAGAAGACTGAAGAATACTCTGGAGAAATTATCTCATTTCCCACGTTTTTATATCCCTTAAAATAGAATAAAAAAATCTTCTCTTAAAAAAGACCATAATACTCTTGTTATTTTCAAACTTTACCATTAAATCCAACATCAACTTTCTTCAATTAAATCCATGAACTTTTAACTTATTTCGAAATCGAGCACATAGTTTTTAAAATTTGCAATTTAGTCACTGACCCTGATTTATGATGTTACAGTGATGGCTGAGGAATTGCTTGCTGGTGAGACCTTTGTTGCTATAATGAAGGAGAAGTACAAACATGTTGAAAGTTTGACTGCACCGAAAGTTCATTGTTGAAAAAAAATGGTAGGCACCGATTAGGTGCAGAATTTGTTGAAATTGGGTAATGGGATAATTATACGTTTAGTCCCTAAACTTTAGGGTATTTACAATATTAGTCATTAAGCTTCAACTATAAATACCCTAATCCATTTAGCTTCAAAATAATCTCAAATCATTCTAGTTTTCTCCCAATACTAGAGAATTTAGAGAGTTTTCTTGAGAGTTATTTTCTCCTTTTTATCAAGAGAGAATTGTCATTGTTTTCTCCTTGTTAGATCGAAAGAAGTTGTAATTCCTAATTTCTTATAGTGAAATTCTTCTATCTTTGTCGTAGATTTTACCCTATATTATTTAGGGGTTTCCACGTAAAATTTGTGTATTCTTTATCTTAATTTTTATTTTCTCAAATTATCAGTTACGATTTTGCTCTATCCGATAACCGTATTCCGCAACAATTGGTATCAAGAGCCAAGTTAGAGTATATAATATCTACTTATTGTCTTTGTGGTTACCACCAAAAGGTGTATCCTCCAACATAAGAAAGTAAGAAGTTATTACCCATTATTTGAAGGTTCTAGAGAACTATTCACGATAGTGAAATAGTGGGAGCTATCCGTAATAGAAGCTATGGTAACGAAATTTGATATTAAAAAGTTTAATGGGAGAAATTTTTCATTGTGGAAATTGAAGATGAAGGTCATCCTAAGAAAAGACGGTAGTCTAGCGGCTATTAGTGAAAGACCAGTGGATTTCAAAGATGACAGCAAATGGAACGAGATAGAGGGAATGTTATGGCAAACCTTAATCTAGCATTAACAGATGAAGTATTGTCAAACATTGAGGAGAAGAAGACAGCCAATGAGATATGAGATAAAAAATCCAGAAAATACAAATTCTTAGGGTATGATGATGGTGTAAAGGGGTATCGCTTGTGATGTTATCTTTGTAGAAGATAAACTACAAAGAAAAAAAGACGATGATAGCGCTGAAAAAGGAGTTTGAACAAGGAGATTCTTCTGAAGCAGAACCATCACATGATGAACAAGAACGAGAGAGTTCTGAAGCTCCAACAACTCGCCAATCAAATCGTGTGAGAAGACGTCCCAATTGTCACTCAGATTATGTTATAGAAGAAAATATTGCATACTGCCTTTTTTACAGAGGACAGTGAGCCATCAACATACCAGGAGGCAATAAACAACTCAGGTGTTTCACTGTGGATGATGGTGATACAAGAAGAAATTGAAGCCCTTCATAAAAATAATACATGAGACATTGTGCCACTACCACAAGGAATGAAGCCAATTGGTAACAAATGAGTCTTCAAAATCAAACGAAATGGTGACGATCAAGTTTAGAGGTATCGTGCAAGACTGGTGGTCAAAGGATATGCTCAAAAAGAATGTATTGATTTCAATGAAATCTTTTCTCTTGTGGTTCGACTAACAATAGTTCGAGTAGTCTTGGCAATGTGTGCTACATTGAATTTACATCTAGAGCAGCTAGATGTTAAGATAACTTTTCTTCATGGAAATCTTGAAGAAGAGATTTATATGCTCCAACCTGAAGGGTTTGAAGAAAAAGAAAAAAAGAACTTGGTTTGTAGGTTGAACAAATCTCTGTACGATCTAAAGCAGGCGCTGAGGTGTTGGTATAAGATATTTGATTCCTTCATTATGTGCCTTGGATACAACAGACTTAATGCATACCCTTGTGCTTATTTCAAGTGGCTTGGTGATAACTATTTTGTTATATTGCTATTGTATGTGAATGACATGTTGGATGCAGGACCCAACAAAGATCATATTGAAGAATTGAATGAACAACTGCTAGGGAATTTGAAATGAAGGACTTGGGATTAGCAAACAAGATTTTAGGGATGCAAATTCACCGAGACAGAAGTAATAGGAAGATTTGGCTTTCACAAAAAGAATTACTTAAAGAAGATCTTGTCACGATTCAACATGCAAGATTGTAAGCCTATTTCTACCCCTCTTCCTATTAACTTCAAATTATCCTCCAGTATGAGTCCTAGCAGTGAAGAAGAGAGGATGAAGATGTCTCGAGTACCGTATACATCAACAGTGGGAAGTTTAATATTCGCTATGATATGCACAAGACCAGACATTGCACAAGCAGTGGGAGTGGTTAGTCGATACATGGCGAATCCAGACAAAGAGCATTGGAATACAATAAAGAGGATCCTGAGATACATCAAAGGGACCTCAAATATTGCATTATGATTTGCACAGACCTCTTGCTCAATTTACAGAGAAATGATGGAGAGAACTTTACGTTTAGATGACACAACCTATATATCAAACAATTTAAATGTAGTTACAAAATAATACCAGTTTCTTTTCACAAAAGTAAAAATGTGGTTTCTACTAGTTATTTTGAAGAATAAGAAGAATAGTCAAACTGTCGGTCAAACATGATGAGTCAGTTGGTTTAACGTGTCACATCAGTATTCCGTTACTGCAGTAACGATTGTTAATGGCTATTAACGTTGAGTGACTATTTTGTAACAAACGATAATGTTAGTGATTGATTTGTGACTTTGAAGCATTAATGGTGAAAACAAACACTAGCCTAAACATTAGTGACCATTAGTGTAGTTTACCCTTTTTATAATTATGTTAAAAATAAATGGATAAAGTACACTATAGGTCACTGTACTATTTCAAATATATTTTTGTGAACAAGCTTTCAAATATTACAAAACGATCATTAAACTTCCCAAATAATTACATAACAAACATTAAATTCATCAAATCATTACAAAATAGTCACTAAAATTATCAAAATATTATAAAAGGACTATTAAACTTATCGAAATTTATTACTATTTATAACATCATAGATATTATTTTATAATAGTTTGATAAAGCAAATGATTATTTTGTAATATTTAAAAGTGTGATGACTAAAAAGATTATTTTAGTATAGTTCAACGACTTATGGTGTGCTTTACCCAAGACAAAAGAAGTGCATTTTTTACTAAAATTTGAGAAGGGTGGAACACTTCGAAGAATTTAGCCGAAATTTATTTATACAGCCGGACTGTTGCCAATGGCCTCTGTTAATTAACAGCCGAGTAGATTTCAATTGAAAACAGTTTTTTTTTTTAATTTCCATTTTATTTCTTCAACCAAACGGTAGGGGCATTAGGGTTTCAAATCTGGGTTGCGTGGTTAGAGATTGAGCTCAGATCTCCTCCATTTTTCTTTCAATTCATGTCATTGTGATTCTATCAGGTACATTTAATCCATTCGTTATTTTACCATATCCAGTTTATTTTCATAGCGATCTCAATTACATACAACACGATCTAATCTTTTCCCTGATTGAATCTTCAAAATGGATATTCTCTGAATATCGGTCATAATTTGTTGTTTTCTGGATTTTTTTCCACATATATTTTAATGGAGTTATTTAGTTTCCGTCCGATTCACGAGAAAATGGAACGCAAAATGATTCAATTTGTCTTTCTTAAAATTTGTACGCCAAACAAAATAGCTAATTAGTTGCTTTTAAGTTTCAGATTATTCTTTCTCTTTGTGACAGGATTCGTGTGCTCGTCAAATTAATGTATAATTTCAGATTTCCTATGCATTCTGCAGATTTATACATTGTCAAAGAATTTTATAAAAGATTTATGAAAACAGTTTAGAGGCAATGTTGCCGTCCAGGTTTTCTTTGTTTGGTGGTGGGGGGTCAGATAAAGGTAATTCTGAAGAAGGTGATAAAAAGGGATTGAATCCGACACTAAAACTGCAGACAGATAGAGATGTATATAGACCTGGAGATTCTGTTTATGTTACAATTGAGATCTGCAATCCTCTTACCAGTGGCTATTCTGGTAGTGTTGTACCTTCGCTTTTGATTGAAAAGCTTGGCTTTGAAGTCAAAGGGATCGAGAAGTTGGACACTCAATGGTTTGCCACCCAAAAACCAGTGTCTGGAACGAAGCAAAGAAGAGGTTAGTATACTGCATATGTGAATATTAAAGAGATTGAATTAAAAAAATCTTATGTTTCCATGAGGACAAAGAAGTCAGATCAGTATAAAGGAGTTTATCGAAATTGCTATCATCTTTCATTTTCTTCTCAACTTTTAGCATTCATGTAATTTGTTTATATTGGGCAATTTAGTCTACTTTTTTGTTACTTCTTTTTCCTCCAGGGATATGCATAGAATTGAGATCGATTCCTGAAGAAAAAGATCATATTGTTTTAATTTAAATATTTTTTACTTATATTTATATTATTGCTCTTAATCTTTTTTCAGGTGAACATGTTTTTCTGGACTGTTCAACACAATCAATCATTTCAAATCAGATTGTGCCGTCTGGCTCTGCAAAAACTTGTTAGTCTATTTCCTGCCTTTGTCTAATGGTTTAGTTGATATATTTAAGTGCAGGGCTGTAAGATTTTTCCTCGCAATATGTTAATATGCTATTGATGAGTACTGGCCATGCTGTCTCAATGGCTGCATGTCATCATGTTTTGGTCAAACCCTGGTTTTGCTCATTGAAATTGTTGGTTGAAATTACCATCTGGAATATATTTAAGTGCAGGGGTGTAAGATTTTTCCTCGCAATATGCTAATATGCTATTGATGAGTACTGGTCATGCTGTCTCAATGACTGTATGTCATCATGTTTTGGTCAAACCCTGGTTTTGCTCATTGAAATTGTTGATTGAAATTACCATCTGGAATAATACTTCATTCAGTTCATTGACTTGTTAGAGAGAGAATAATGATTAGAAGGATGAATTTTATCTAAGAGAAAAGCAGAAGTGCAAGTGCCAAGTATATTATCAGCAAAAGAAGATAAATATGCAGAAATGTGATTTCCAAGATGAAATCTAAAGTACATTATTGGTAACTGTCAGCATAACTAATTGTGTGACAGTGGCCATCCAGTCCTGCATGTTTTGAATTGAACACTTGTGTTTTTTTGGCTAATAATATTTTGTTAACCCTTGCTATTGTTAAATGTTTCAGCTTTCCACCATACTATTATTTATTAGTCTGATTCAATAAGATTCATTTCTGTAACTGACATTTGACTCTGATATGCAGATCTGGTACGGGCTGTGCTTCCTAGCCTTGTACCACCATCTTACAAGGGTTCTACCATTCGTTATTTATATTATATAAAGATTACTTTGTTTGTTCGATGGCTGATACTGGAAAATGGTCACTCCAGCAAGGATTCAGTAGATCTTACTGAAGTGGTTGGTTTTACTTAATCTTCATGGTTTTTATTATGGATCCCCAAATCATCTTCTGTTCTTGTCTTTCAGAACTAGATATGTTTGACTTGCTGATAGGCCTAGTGCTCCTGAAAATAGGAATTCTGTTAAATTTCAGGCTTTTATGTTTGTTTCATTGTTTGTGCACTACTGCACTAGTATGTAACATTGATTACATTTTACCAATTTGTCCTGTTTTATCCGGCTTATTATTGAATATGTAAAACCATAACTTTGCACATATGGACATTTTGGCACATCTATGGATGTGTTCTTTGCATTTGTTCTCATTCAGATCTCTGGATCTTGGAATCGGATTGAACTTGTTGATGTCCGAATCCAGTCACCAAATTGCATATACTGTCAAGAGATGATATTTATGAACTTTGAATCCTTGCAGGACGCTCGTGTCCCTTTGCAAGTATGGGTAACTCAGAAAGGAAATGGTTTGGTGATGAAAGATGGTCAAAGTGATGGTAAGTTGCCATATTTCAAGTTTACCATCATTGTTACTACCTCCTCTCAATATCTTTACTAATTATTAAGTTTCGTGAAATAATTGACAAGTACTAAGTGGTGACTTTCTCTTTTTATAAGATGTTATGTTTTGGTAGTCAAGAATTTTTCACTAAGTTTTGGGATATGAATGTAATAACTTGAACAATAAAGCAGGAAGACACATTTATGCATGTAAACATTTTATTCTTGAATTCTATGTTACCTTGACTTGGGATGAGTGTTGGATACATGTTCCTTATACAGTTATGCTCAACTTTTTTCTAAGTTTTTATTTATATTTGGAGGATCACAACCCATACCCATTTCAATGTATGGGTCATTCACAAGTATCTGACATGACTACTTTTGGAAAATGAAAAGTCCAGTTAACATAAGCTGGGATTTGGTATAAGGAAGAAACTACATAAGTCTAAACTGGATTTGTTGAAGTAACTATGACTTGAATTTTGGAGCACAGTTGAAAAGTCATGGTTTGTACTCTCTCAAATACAGTTTGTGATGGGAGTCGGTATACTTTGCATATCAGAATATAGCAAAATGACTATGTTTTCGTTTTTTATGACCCAGGTATTGTTCCTGCTACAACCATCCAAACAGATATATACTGGAAAGAGATTGATGGTGATTCAGATTGGGTAAGACTGTTAGTAATGCTGCTATGTGCTAATGCTTTTGACTTACACTTTTAGTTGAATGATAACTGAAAAAAAATGTGTTACAGGCTAGAGTGAGTGACCTGTATGACAGTATTGAGGAAGGGTATGAGAGCTCAAGGGATGAAATGTCTTCTGTTTCATCCTTTAATCCTTCAAAGGAACATCTTTATAAAACCTTGAGTTCCCTATCGTTGCAATCGTCAGCAGCCAGATCTTCAAATAGAGATGGTCCATATCATGATGGAGACCATTTGAGTTTATCTTCAAATGTAGGGCTTCCGCGGTTATCGATAGCAGAGGACTTGAATGATTCTAATCCTGGTAATTGCGTTATTCTTTATTACACGGTGTCACTATGTGTTCTGAATTTGTTTCCCTCCTTCTGTCATTATGTTCTCTGGTATTTCTCTTCTGTTGGATTGTTGTGGTAACTTTTAAGTTTTTAAGCATACCTGCAGAAGCAATGCTAATCATTTGATTTAAAATATGTTTTCTGGTTCTTAGAATGTCTTTTGAAGTAGATCTTTTCTCGCAGACATATCATCAGCCATATCTCCAAGACAGAAGCGCACTTCCACAAGATCACTAGCTGGAAATGATAAAACTGGGATAAATTCTGCACTCGGCCAGGGAGCTACTGAACCTTTAGCATGTAAAGCACCGGACATTCTGCCCCATGTTTGTTTTCTGTTTGTCCCTAATGAAGCATGAATCTAGCTTTGAACTGTCTAATATGCCGATCCTGGTAAACTTATTTGTTACCAATATTTTCTGCAGCAGAAGGCTTTATTCGAGGAAGGTCGTATAATATCAGGATGGATGACCAAGTTTTGCTAAGATTTTCCCCTAAGAACTCTGAGTCCACTTATTACTTCAGTGATATGGTAAAATCAGTTTCAACTGTAGATTCTTTCTCCAATGAATTTGCTTCCATTGTTTCACTTGTTCTTATGATTATCTGTTCCAATAACAGATAGGCGGGACTCTTACTTTCTTTCATGAAGAAGGTGCTAGAAGATGCCTTGAGGTACTGCAGATTATGACCAAAGCAAGTGAAAAAACTATGACCTATTGAATGATGAATCTTGTAATTTGCTGGAATAATTTCCGTTCTGTAGGTTTCAGTCACGCTGGAAACTTCTGAGACAATAAGTCGTCGTTTTGTTCATCCATCTAGAAGGAATTCCCCAACAATTACCAAGGTGTGCCTTTCCAAAATTTTGATTCTACAATTACATTGGACTCATGAATTAGAATATTGATTTTCATAGATTAAACTTACATGCTTGGTCTGTTTTGGCGTTCATGAAATCTGTGATAATTTGCTTCTCACACATTCATGCACTTGTATGCTCAGAAAATGACACATTTGCAAATACTTGTTGGTTGTTAAGAAGTTCTGTATTGCTAGAATCCTTTTTTCTATTTTTAGATAGTGTTCGTTATCCCAAAAGCTTTCATTTTCTAGTAGGTTTTACTCAATTACACTTCAGAAAAGCAATTTGATTAAGCCCTTTTATGATTTTAATAAAACCATTACTTTACTTAAAAAAGAAATAAACTTAACTTGGGAGTAAAATAATGATTTTTCAAATGTTGTTTCTTGTAATTCTATTTCAATACGCAATGCGTAGATTACACCATTTGTTATCAGTTTGGCCGTTTCAAGCCGTTTCTTTTGTGAGCCTCAATGACTGAAAAACTGAATCCTTTCCCTGCATATTCAGACAGCTATGGTAACATTGTTAATTGATTATTGTTCTTTCAGGTCCAGAGTGATCATCATGAGGTTGTTGCTGATTTGATACAGACAAGTTTTCTTTTTTCTATTCCCATGGACGGTCCCATGTCGTTTTCCACTTCTCATGTCTTGGTGAAATGGGTTCTAAGATTTGAATTCTTCACTACTCCCAAGAATGTAGACTGGACAAGGTATGACCATTTGGTACTCCAATAGAGTTACTATTTTATGAAAAGAGTTTATTACTAATGGTCGAAGATTATCAAATGTCTTGGAAGTTCTTTTTCTTACCTTTTTAACGTAGTCGTGGAAACTTCCCAACAACCGGGTATTGATAGTTTCATTCCAAAAACTTACCATCCTATTTAATGGATTTTTTATAATATGATTTGTCAGTCGAATTCTCTGTAAATTGTTATCTGAACTCGGAAACTTCTTTTGGCATAGAGGTATATTTTTACTCCGAAGTTGAAATGGCTTGCAATTAGTGTAATCTATGCTTTTAAGTTTATTGAAATTTAGAATATTTATGCTTCTGTTACCAAATATGACTTCTTAATTATGAATTCAGATATGAGCATCCTCTTTTAATTGAAGGTGGAGACAAATGCGAATGGGTTCTTCCCATAACAGTGCACGCACCTCCGGCCGGAGCTCCAGTTGTTACCCATTCACGGGGTGAGAAACCTCTCTCCATAGAACCCATGTGGATTCATAGTTGAAGGTAAACTTGTTTCGAATACGTTAGTGGCTGGATTTCTGCACAGCTTCAAATGCGGGTAAGGAATTACTTGTAATTACGCAGTCTCTCGCTACATTTACCATTGCAAAGACATGAGTCTTGCATAATAATTCATCGGGAGTTCTCCGGGAGTTTTGAACTCGGTTCCTCATTTTTATCCAGTAATCGTTGTATAAGACGTTGATATTCGGGTTTTGTCGCCCGAAATTGCATTATTTTGGAGTAGCTGGTGTAAGTCCTCTTATTGTTGGGAAGCAAATGAGGGAACATAAACTCTCTTAAGGTTTTTTTTTTCATTGATACTAATTATTTTTAATCTCAGTATAAATATAATTATCATGTTTATAATCGTTGATTAGATTAACCTGGAAAAGACAAACCAAATCCCATTATTCTATCATCCTAAGCATTACCAAATACCACTCTAATCAATACCATCACATCTTCCCCCTTACATCAATATGGCTTAACACCATCTCCTAAGAAGCAAGACATTCAATTATTCTTCTTGAGGTAAACTCGAAGCTCTGATTCATGTCGCTCGGTTAATGTCACCTTTAAACCATGCTTCATGTACATCGTCAAGGCAAGTTTTGGTGCTACGACGTGACCTTTCACCACCTTCACGTGGTAGTGATACAAGATCGAGGCGGCCGCGAATTTCATCTGATAATAAGCAAAATCTTTCCCTAAACAAAGTCGAGGACCGCCGTTGAAGGCGGTGAACTTGTAGGCCGCCGCACTCGTATACCGGCTGTCTCTTAACCATCTCTCCGGTTTATATTCTCGGCAGTCTTTTCCCCATAGGGCTTCCATTCTACCCATAGCATAGATTGCATAGATAATTTTTGTTCCTTTAGTACTGTTCCATCTGGAAATACATTGTCTTCAACAACCTGAAAGAAACATAGATCGAAAACTAGGTTTAACTACCAATGATCGAATGGATCGATTTTTTGTTCGAACCGGTCAATTTAATAGAGAAACGAATTACCACCTTATGATCAACAGGAACCGAAGGGTACAATCTCAGAGCCTCTGATAATGAAGCCTGCAAATAATCCATCTTCTTTATCTCCTCTGGTCTAAATATCAATGGACTCTTCAAGTCATCTCTTTCGTTAACAATTCTACAAATCTCTGCAAGAATTTTTTCCTCGACAATGGGGTTCTTTTCCAGCAACCAGAAAAACCAGCTCAACGCCATCGAAAAAGTATCCCTTCCGGCGAGTATAAAGTTGACACAAATATCACTCAAGAACTTGTCTGAAAATGGCGCACCTTGTTCATCTTTCAATCTCATGAACACCGTCAATAGATCCGATCTTTGCTTCTCGTCTTCCTTTTGTAACGATAACTCCTCCTTCCTTGTCCGAATAAATTGTTCTGCGAATTCGTCGACACCCTTTATCGATTTTTTCAGCTTCTTTTCAATCCCTAAATCAAGACATCTCATGGCTTTCCATACGCATGTCGGGGTGACGAAACGTAGCAATGTCGTCTTGGTGGCGTCTTCGAACGCTTTGGCGAACAGTATTTCAGGCAATCCGGGACGGAGACACCCAGGGTCGACACCAAAGGCTATCATGCAAACGTTATCGAACGTTAATCTCAGAAGAACATCTTGCAGGTCAATGGAGGTCGATTTGTTCACTACATTTTCCAGCACGGGCAAGAGCCTGGCGTGGACGAGTTCCACCAACGACTCGGTCGTTAATTGCCGGAACTTCGCCGAGTGGAACTCAATGCTCGCCGTTTTCCTCTGCCGTTGCCATGTCTCGTCATCGGCATTGAATATCCCGTCTCCAAGAAGATCACGAACAGTGTCACGAAAATAAGGCCCTTTGGGGAAAACAGAGAATTTGATCTTGAGAAGATGCTCGAGGTTCCTAGGATCAGACGTAACAACGCAATTGAGACTACTGAACCACGGACCTTTGAACTTGAAAGTCCCATTTTGCTGGCAAAGTATGTCCGATATCCACTCGTACATGTCGGACCGGAGACCAGTCACCAACGACGGTAACATTCCGAGCAAGGGCCAAACAGGAAGACCATAACGTCGTTTTTTCCCCAACGAATGTATAAAAACAAAAACCACAACAGCAAGAATCAGCTCCACAACCTGAAGATATTGCCGGAAAACAACCGCCTCGAAACAAAATTTTCGACGAAACCATCGTCGGAAAACGAGGAAGACGAAGTTAAATTCACAATAGGGTTGATCATCGTTTTAGTATGACAAGAAAAAAAAAAGCAAATTTTGCATGGGGAATTTGATGAGTGAGCAGTGCGTTCATTATAACAAGAGAACCCGATAGACAGACGGGCAGATGGGCAAGGCGTTTCTTGGCGTGCATGTTTTGGCCCGAATTGGTTTGATTTGGTGAGCTGAATTTTGAGTGTGTAAATTGCAAAATGCATTTTCATTTTTAAGACAAAAATTGTGGGGGTGTAGGAGAACTTTCACTCGATTAAGGAATGTTTGGCCAACAGTGATGAGCAATGGAGTTTTATGGGTGATGTGGGATGAAAAGTGGGTGGGCGACTGTTCTTTTATTCATTGCAATGTCTTGTTTAGTTTTAGTTTTAAGGTTGCTGTCTTTGGATGTTGACTATGAAATTACTTTAAGAATTGTAGATGAAGGATAGCACCCGGCAGATAGAGATTTAATTAAATAAGGTGTGGTTCCGGTACTCTTGGTATCATTTCTTTTCACCTACGCCTACAAATTAGTCCACTTGGCAAACCAATCCGTCGTAAATAGGGATAGATCGTGAGAGGTTGATATACAATCATATCTTTTAAATATATTAAACTTTTATATAATTTAAGTATTTTATTTGTACTCTTTAATTATAAATTTGGATCATTCGATATAAAATTTTATATTCGTTTATATTCATCAAGTCACTCTAAATTATTATCTCATATGTTATAGTATACTTCACGTCTTTTTTAGAATTTATTGTAATATAATTTCATGTATATTATGTTACAATTTTATTTATTATTCATTCATTAAATTATTGATTATAATCGTATTAATAATTATATGTGTTAATTATAATTATAATTTTTTCTTTGAACAATGTCAATTGTATTCCATTAATGGAAATAAAAGAATCATAATTACAATACACTCAATTATAGAGAGAAAAATCGAGACAATAATCATAAAAAAAACTCGTAAAAAATAAAAATATTAAACTCAAATATACAAAGAAAAGCAAAATCTTACAAAAAAAACGAAATCTTCCTTTGAGAATAACGATCAACATTAAAAGAACCCAATAACCTTCATAAAAACTATTTATCTCTGTCGAACGAGATTTATAAAGTGACAAAGGAGTGGTGAGGGAACCAAATTATCTAGCAGGTTACTTTGTAACTCAATCTTGATTATATCGTCAAACAACTTTTGACCAAAGAGGTGTTTTGATAATATTTTACCACCGACAAACCAAACAGATAATAAATGTTGTGAGGGTATTTGTGCGAGCACCAAAATAACTGCAAATGTATGTGAAAAAAATACCAAAAATCATAAAAACATGTTATAATAGCAGAGAAAAAGTGTCACAAGAGTAAAGAAAAGCGTGTCATAAGGATAAAAAAATTTATTCAAAAAAAGAAAAAAGAAAACAAAGGACATGGTATGAAAAAAAACAAGAAAATAAATCACAGACGATCGAGAATCAACATTAAAATTAAAATTGCTTTCGTCTAAACAAAAATTAAAAGAAAAGCAAAAAGTGATATAAAAATATTAAGAAAAAACTTTAGTTAAAAAAAGAAGAATTTTTTTTATACAAAATAACAACAATTCTTTTACCACTGATATCACTTAGTACTGAATATTAATTAATGGGTTTCACATCAATAATCAAATTTATTGTATTTTAATTATTTTAAAATCTAACAAGAATCTACTCATTGCCGGCTTACATAAAAATCATCGTAACATATTATAAGTTCATGTTTAAGTATGATCAACTAATCATTATGAAGTGGTCTGCAATGGCTTCCAGAGCGGCCGTTTCTGTAGTATTTGTTTTGGTTTTGCTTAGTGTGAGCAGTGAAGGGCTTAGGCAGGGCGGTGCCCCGAACCACTGTGATGTTTTGTGCCAACAAGAAGCGGACAGAGTGGTGGGGCTTCCGGGTCAGCCGCCGGTGGAGTTCAAGCACTATGCGGGGTACGTGACGGTAAATGAGAGTCATGGCCGAGCCCTGTTTTATTGGTTTTTCGAAGCAACGAGCAAGCCTGAGAAACACCCTCTCCTCCTCTGGCTCAACGGAGGTAAATTTTAACTCCTAGAAATCATGATAATTGGTTGTTGTTTTAAATGTAATTCAAATTGCAGGTCCCGGATGCTCATCCGTTGCGTCGGAAGCGGAGGAGTTGGGGCCTTTCTTCCCTCAAAGAGATGGAAAAACCCTAAAGCTTAACCCACATAGATGGAACAAAGGTATACAAAAGGTCAAATTTTGGTTTTATCTTATTTTGGTCATTATTTTTTAAAATGTATTCATAAAACGTTCAATTTACTCCTATTCGACTACTCGAGTGTTAAACCATAAATAGAAAAGTGATCAAGTAGTTACATGTGTTGACGTGAATTACTTTTTATTGATATGAAATCCATGTGCCACTACGTAATTCTCCCTTTTTTGTTTTATATTCTACCTCCATAGATTAAAATTTTACAATTTTCATTCTTACGTCATGTCGACGCTGTAATTATCATTCTTCGGTGTGTTATTTGATCACTTAAGATATCGACGAACTTATCTCATTGTCTAACACAACTATCAATTAAATTTGACCTAAATCACTTTAAATTTTATAAAATTCATCTCTAAACTCTAAACATATGAAATCCCAAACCATTTTGATCTATAATACCCATTATTCAATCAACATAGAATCAAAATATACAATTTATTTTTTACTTCTCCGCCTCCTCACAGTTGGGATTAGGAAAAATAATCTTGATCATCGAGAGACCAAAGGAATTTCGAAACTAACAGGTTTTTCAACAACAACAAAAAAAGTTTTATAACCATTTTATAGTTTCTAAAAAAAATATCTAGTATAACACAATTAAGTATTGAACGACAAATGACCAAATAAAAGTAAATCAAAAAGTTCAATTAATAAATTAAAATATTTTAAACTTTAGCGATTAAAATAAGTGTAATAAGAAAGTTAATGATGAAATTTATAATTTATCCTTTAATTTTAGGAATTGAATCCGTCAGCTTTGAAAAATAGGATAAAGTAGTTCATTGGTCAGTCAACTATTAGCGTGTTCCGATTTTGGTCACTAAATATATATTTTTGAATTTCATGACCAACAATACAAAAATTGATCATTAGCATGTTTGATTGATTCTGTATTTTTGTTGTTGTGAGCCAGCTGCCAACTTATTGTTTGTTGAAGCTCCCGTTGGTGTTGGGTTTTCCTATACCAATACAAGCAGTGATCTGGATCAACTTGGTGATAATTTTACAGGTCTCTTTCTTCTTTTATTTCAACAAAATTTCCAAATCCATTATGATTTCCTCATCATAATCAATTCCCTTTGGATGATCAAGCTAAGGATTCCTACGCTTTTCTCCTCAACTGGTTCAAAAGGTTCCCTCAGTTCAAGTCCCATCACTTTTACATTGCTGGTTATAGCTACGCTGGTATGCTCTTGATTTTCTTTTAATCGTCTACTCGTCCGACATCTGTACCGATCAATATTATTTGATATATCGAACAAATATTTATATCCGGCACTTATCTAAATTGATTCTTAAATGTTAATTTTTCAGGTCACTTTGTTCCTCAGCTAGCTGAGGTCATTTTTGACAACAACAAATATGTTCCTAAGTCGGATTACATCTATCTAGAGGGAATTATGGTAAGGGACTTATGTTCGTAAGTGTGTCCCTGTTACTTTAAATCATATTCGAGATAACTCTTGTCCTTTACTTTTTAGGTTTAAGTACTTTATATGTCCTTGAAGTTTTGAAATTAGACAATTTGACCCCTTCCGGTATTTTGTCCTGATTCCATCAGTAAAATGAACTATATGTTGCGGAATACGGCTATCGGATAGAGCAAAATCGCAACTGATAATTTGAGAAAAATAAAATGAAGATAAAGAAAAAACAAAATTTACGTGAAAACCCCTAAATAAAATCGGGTAAAAACCATGGGCAACGGTAGAAGAATTTCACTATGAGAAAATAGGAATTACAACTTCTCTCAATCTAACAAGGAGAAAACAATGATAATTCTCTCCTGATAAAAAGGAGAAAACAACTTTCAAGAAACTCTCTAAATTCTCTAGTATTGGGAGAAAGCTATAATCATTTGGGATGGTTTTGAAGCTAAATGGGTTAGGGTATTTATAGTTGAAGCTTAAGGACTAATCTTATAAATACCCTAAAGTAGAATGACAAAAATTGAGATTTACCCATTATCCAAATTCAACAATTGTTTACTGCCTTTTGACCATTGCACTGAATTGTGCATTAATGCACAGATTTCGATGCTGACTTTCAACAATCTTCCACTTAAAGATTTGATTGGAACAATCATATCTTCACACCATTCTTTCTACCTTGTACCATCATGTTGCTTATGTTTCTGACAAGCCACAAGAGGATCGACACCAAGTAAATTTATCAACATTGATCGCCTTCGTCATGAAATCTGATATGTTGTCTTTGGTATGGATCTTCTGCATATCTACCGTCCCTTCTTCCACCTTTTCACGAATGAAATGGTACTGAACTCGTATGTTCTTTGTCCTTGAATGAAATGCTGGATTCCTTGCTAGATGCAAGGTGCTTTGACTGTCACAAAACAGAGAGACATACTCTTGATTGTGCCCAAGCTCCTCCAATGTCATCTTCAACCAAATTACTTCTTTACTGGCTTGTGTAGCTGCTACATATTCTGCCTCTGTTGTGGATGTAGCCACAACTAACTGCAATTTTGAAACCCATCTTATAGCTCCACCAACAACTTTAAACACATATCATGTAGTAGATTTGCTTTTATCCAAATCCCCTGTATAGTCAGAATCTACATACCAATTGACAAGTAAGTTTGATCCTCCGTAACATAATGCAACATTTGAGGTCCCTTTAATGTATCTCAGAATCCTCTTTACTGTATTCCAATGCTTTTTGCCTGGATTCGCTATGTACCGACTAACCACTCCAACTGCTTGTGCAATGTTTGGTCTTGTGCATATCATAGCGAACATTAAACTTCCCACTACCGATGCATACGACACTCGAGACATCTCCATCCTCTCTTCTTCACTGCTAGGACTCATATTGGAGGATAATTTGAAGTTAATAGGAAGAGGGGTAGAAATTGGCTTACAATCTTGCATGCTGAATCGGTGAATTTGCATCCCTAGAATCTTGTTTGCTTATCCCAAGTCCTTCATTTCAAATTCCCTAGCCAGTTGTGCCTTTAATTCTTCAATATGATCATTGTTGGCTCCTGTAACCAACATGTCATCCACATACAACAGCAATATAACAAAATTGTTATCACCAAACCTGAAATAAACACAAGGGTCTACATTAAATATGTTGTATCCAAGGCAAATAATGAAGGAATAAAATCTCTTATACCAACACCTCGGCGCCTGCTTTACACCGTACAGAGATTTGTTCAACCTGCAAACCAAGTTCTTCTTTTCTTTTTCTTCAAAACCTTCAGGCTGGAGAATATAAATTTCTTCTTCAAGATCTCCATGAAGAAAAACTGTTTTAACATCTAGCTGCTCTAGATGTAAGTTCAATGTAGCACACATTGCCAAAACCACTCGAGTTGTTATTAGTCGAACCAAAGGAGAAAAGATTTCATTGAAATCAATACCTTCTTTTTGAGCATATCCTTTGACCACCAGTCTTGCACGATACCTCTCCACTTGATCGTCACTATTTCACTTGATTTTGAAGACCCATTTGTTACCAATTGGCTTCATTCCTTAAGGTAGTGGCACAACGTCCCATGTATTATTTTTATGAAAGACTTCAATTTCTTCTTGTATAGCCATCATCCACAGTGAAGCATCTGAGTTGTTTATTGCCTCATGGTATGTTGATGGCTCACCGTCATCTGTTAAAAGGTAGTATGCAATATTTCCTTCTATAACATAATTTGAGTACCAATTGAGACGTCTTCTCACACGAACTGATTTACCAATTGGTTCTTGTTCATCGTGTGCTGGTTCTACTTCAGAAGAATCTCCTTGTCCAACCTCCTTTTCCACATGTATCTGTGTAGACTTTGACTTTTCAGCGTTATCATCGTCTTCTTTTCCTTGTAGCTTATCTTCTACAAAGATAACATCTCTGCTGATAATCACTTTGCGGGTAGTGGGATACCACAAGCGATACCCCTTTACTCCATCAGCATACCCCAAGAATTTGTATTTCCTAGATTTTGGATCCAGCTTTGAAATTTCTTGGGAGTTGTCCATCACGTACACTATACTTCCAAATACATTGAGGTTTGAATAATCAGCTAGTTTACCAGTCCACATCTCCATTGGTGTCTTCAGCTCTATTGCAGTTGATGGAGCTCGGTTAACCAAATAATATGAGGTATTGACTGCTTCTGCCCAGAATGATTTTTCTAGGCCTGCATCCCTTAACATTGCTCTTGTTATTTCTAACAAGGTTTTTTCTCATCCGCTCTGCCACTCCATTTTGTTGAGGAGTGTTTGCCATTGTGAAATGTCTTTTGATGCCTTCTTTCCTGCAAAAGTCATCAAATTCTTCACTTGTATATTCTCCTCCATTATCTGTTCTGAAACACTTGATCTTATTTCCAGAATCAAGTTCTAACTGCGCTTTGAAGTTTTTGAAAGTTGAAAACACATCTGACTTTTTCTTAATAGGGTACACCCAACATCTCCTGGAGTAGTCATCAATAAATGAGACAAAATATTTTGCTCCGCCTAGGGATGTAACTGGTGCTTGCCATACGTCAGAGTGAACCAATTCTAGAACACTTTTGCCTCTAGAATTTGATGTGTTGAATTTCAATCGGTGTTGCTTACTTGTTATGCAGTGCTCACACAAAGTAAGTGATACCTTTGTTAAGCCTGGAAGTAGCTTTTGTTCCACAAGGACTTTCATTCATTGTTCTGACATGTGTCCAAGTTTCTGATGCCATAACATTGCAGAATCTGAACTACATGAGGCAACATAGGCTTCTGCTTCTAGCAAAGTCTCTCCCTTCAGCATGTATAAGTTTGCTACTATCTTTTCGCACAAGCGCTCCATGGAACACCTTCATGATTCTTTTTCGTGTTTTAATCATGCTTGCATTATTATCCAACAATCCGTAGGATAATAAATTTTTCTTCAAGCCTTTCACGTAACGCACATCTCGAACAACTTTGATTGTTCCATCATACATCTTCAATTTGATGGTTCCCACGCCAACAATCTCTAAAGGATGATCATTGCAACTATATACAGATCTTCCTGAGACAGGTTCATACTGATGGAACCATTCTCTTCTTGAGGTCATATGATATGTTGCTCCCGAATCAATGAGCTATATATCTGTAAATCTTTTTATACCTTCCACGGTGGTTGACGCTTCACAACATAGTGCATCTCCATCATCTGAAGTGTTTGCGGTATTGCCTTGTGGATTAGAGTTTTTATTTAGACACCAACAATATTTCTTCTGACCATTCTTTCCATAGTTGTAACACTTTAAATTCTATTTTCTTCTCGACTTTGATCTATCATGTTTGTGACTACCACTTTGGCCACGTTCCGTTGATCTCCCTCTCATCATTGTCAACGCTTCTGCTTGTTGCAGATTTACTTGCATGTCTTCCTTGTTCTTGCGCCGATTTTCTTCTTGTAGAACAGCAGCTGCAACGTCATCGAAGACTAGACCGGTGACATTACTGTTTGTCAAGTTGATGATGAGTTGATCATACGAATCAGATAGACTTTAAAGTAGTAGTTCAACACGTTCTTGTTCTCCTATTGTACATCTTAGGGATGTAAGCTGAGAAAATAAAGTGTTTAGCGTGTTTAAGTGCTCCATCACTGAAGTAGATTATGGCATACGGAGAGTGTACAATTTCCTCTTAAGGAAAATTTTATTGTGCAACGATGTGGCCTTGTACAGTTTGGTGAGATGATCACATATCTCCTTAGTTGTCTTTTTCTTCTCGATGCTTGACAATACTTGATCTGCTAATGCTAGATGAAAGTTTGCCATAGCATTTCCGTCCATTTCGATCCATTTGTTGTCATCTGTGAAATCTACCGGCCTTTCACTGATAGTTACTAGACAACCGTCTTTCATCATGATGGCTTCATCTTCAATTTCCACAATGAACTTTTCATTATCAAATTTCGTTGACATAGATTCTATTATGGATAGCTCCCACTATTTCACTATCGTGAATAGTTCTCTGGAACCTTCAAAGAATGGGTAATAACTTCTTACTTTCTTATGTTGGAGGATCCAGCTTTTGGTGACAACCACAAAGACAATAAGTAGATATTACACACTCTAATATGGCTCTTGATACTAATTGTTGCGGAATATGTCTATCGGATAGAGCAAAATCGCAACTGATAATTTGAGAAAAATAAAATGAAGATAAAGAAGACACAAAATTTACATGGAAACCCTAAATAAAATAGGGTAAAAACCACGGGCAACGATAGAATAATTTCACTATGAGAAAATAGGAATTACAACTTCTCTCAATCTAACAAAGAGAAAACAATGATAATTCTCTCTTGATAAAAAGGAGAAAACAACTCTCAAGAAACTCTCTAGTATTGGGAGAAAGCTAGAATGATTTGGGATGGTTTTGAAGCTAAATGTGTTAGGGTATTTATAGCTGAAGTTTAAGGACTAATCTTATAAATACCCTAAAGTACAATGACAAAAATTAAGATTTACCCATTATCCAAATTCAACAATTGTGTACTACCTTTTGACAATTGCATCGAATTGTGCATTAATGCACCAATTTCGATGCTGACTTTCAACACTTTATGCAGATCGGGAATGCATTGATGGACGAAGAAACAGATCAAAGAGGGATGGTGGATTATGCATGGGATCATGCAGTGATATCCGATAGGGTTTACAACAACATCAAACTCGAATGTAATTTCAGCCGTCCAAAGCAAACTGATGATTGCAAGAAAGCCCTCGAAGCCTACTTTGATGTCTACAACATCATCGATATGTACAGCTTATATACTCCCACCTGTGTTAGTAACTCCGGCACCGGCAATAACCGACGAAGCCCCTCGATTCAAGGCTTCTCCCTTCAGACGATTTCCAAATTCGTAAGCTATTTCTTGCATTTGAATCTGAGTAATATAACTAACATATTCCCCTTCTTTGATCTGAGCTCGGCTAACCCGTTTTTTCCCCGAGATGGACGACGTAAGAGACCGGAAGATTACGATTGTGCATGGGACGACACTGAAGCTTATTTCAATAGGCCTGACGTTCAAAACGCACTTCATGCCAACGTTACCAACATGTCTTATCCATGGACTCATTGCTGGTATTAATTATTGAACATTGATGTCTGTTGCAACACCCATGTGTACAAGGATGGACTGAGAGGATTAATGCCATCGTTATTAAAATTTCAAATTTTTATATATATTAGATATTTTTTTATATTTCTTATTGATAATTTGGTTTTTCTCTTAAATTATTATTAATTTGTTTCCTACGTATAATAAATTTGAAATTTGAGGTTGGCTCATTTTCTGTCTGTAGTGAAATCGTGTCGGTTTGGGGAGATCGACCAGCTTCTATGCTTCCTACACTTAAGAAGCTCATAGACGGAGGCATCCATTCTTGGATTTACAGGTAACCACCCAATGATTTCGGATGGACAACGTAATATAATGACACCAAACATAATATCAATCTAAAAATAACATGAACTTGAGATAAGTAAACAATTTTCCGATTTACAGCGGAGATGCCGACGGGAGAATTCCGGTTACATCAACTAGACTAACCTTAAAAAAACTAGGGTTGAAAACAATGGAGGAATGGACACCTTGGTACACCGATTATAAACAGGTGATGCTTTAAACTTTTAACGGATAGATGGAAATACTCTTAGTTTACGTAAAATATACGTATAATTTCCATACGTATATAAATAATTTTGTTGTAAATCAATTACATTTTGACAGGTGGGTGGGTGGACAATTGAATATGAAGGGCTTACGTTTGTGACCATTAGAGGAGCTGGTCATCAAGTTCCTACTGATAAACCAAGACAAGCTCTTCAACTAGTTAGGCATTTCTTGGCCAATAAGAAATTGCCATCTACACCATTTTAGTCATTTTTCTTGCTTTCATTATTTTTCACAGGGAAATGAACTTTTTCTGTATTGTTAGAGACATTAGTCTTTAAATTTTAAAATGTTTTCTATCAGTTCTTGAACTATGATTTCATTCTAAATAGAATAAATCATAGCACTTGAACTCCATCGACGGTTGACTCGGAAGCTCCACCACCATATCTCTTCTTGTTGACACAAAACGTTGCAGTGGCGACTCACAGCCATGCCTAAACCCTTCACTGCTCACAATAGGCAAAATCAAAACAAATTATTGATATGTATGCTAAATGTGGGGCAATAGATGAGGAATTAGACGTCTTTCGTGGCGTGTCAAATGGTAAGACCGATCTGTTGTTGTGGAATGCTATGATCGGAGGGCTTGCAATTCACGCTTGCACGGTGGACGTTCTGGCTCGAGCAGGGCAGGTAGCAGAGGCATACTGATTTCTACTCGAAATGCCAATGGAGTCGAGTGCTCTGCTAGAATTTCTTGTAAGCCAAGTGAAACTTGAAGTTTATAAGGATATTCAAGGATATCTTTCTCTATGAAATGAAATTTGATTCGAGTGAAAGCTTTTCGAAATCCAAACCTATCAGATTCCGTTTCCGAAGGAGCTTTAAAGTAATATCAGAAAGTAATTCATACTTCTATAAGAACTCAATGTTGTGGGTTCATTAAATTAAACACACTGAAGAAAACACAGAAGAAATGAGAAACACACAGAGAAAGGGTATTGATCTTCAGTTGAATGCTTAGCTTCAGAAGCAAGAAAGCATATACATAGCACACTCCCTAAACGAAAACAATAGCAGAAATATGTTTCTAATAGATATTTGAGCACAAGATTTGATCCCAACAATGCTGATTTTCTTTCTGTATAAAATACCATCTTCTTTTCATCCTTCTCATAAAATCTGCAGAATTGTAATCAAAAGAGTGTCAAAAGTTGTTCTTGAATAGATATCGTTTCGAATATACTAAACGATGACGATTAACATACACCATATAGCTGCAATGCCGAATGCTAGACATTTGAATCTTGAAGGTTGGGTTGAGCAAGCTGGAGCTGATAAGAATGGAACTGTTGAGGACTAATGGTTGAGAGCTGAAGAACACTACTGGGTTCATCATAGAAAGGGAATTGCCCAAGAACTTGCTGATGCTCCACCGCCTTGGCTTCCATTCCTCCGTGTTGGTACTCGATCGTCGCTCGGTGCTCTTGAATCTGTAAGATCAACAAGAAACCAATCCAAATGGTAAATGTTTCAATACAAGTTCAGTTGAAGTCTTTGTACTTACCCATCGGTACATATTGCTGTTTTCTTCTTCTAGTATTCTCTCCTACACAGGTTTTTGAAGTCACACAAATTAGCATCTTGTTAATGTGAGGGAACTTAAAGAAGTGTAAATTCATGTATATCACCTTTCTACGCAGATTATCAAGTTGTTGCTGCAAGAGTTCATTCTGCAGAAAATTGTAAAAAAACAAGAGATGAAATCTTTAGTTCAAATGCATAAGAAGATGAAGATGAAGACGTATACCTTTCGCTCTCGAACCTTGATGGCGGATCGTTCGAGTTCGTTTTCGAGTTGTTCAAGCTCTTCGAACGGTATCGAGCTCATGTCCTCTCCGGTGTAGCGTCGCATGCTCAGTTGAAGCCGACGGGTTTCTTTCCTCAACACTGCCAATTCATTGTACAAATGTTCCTATATACATATACATACATAAATATACATCCATGAAAGAAGGAAATGTGAGTTTATAAAGTTTCTTACCCGATTGTCATGCTCAGGAATGGTAGTTCCAGTAACCTTCAGATACCTATCAATGATTTGCTCCATTCTGTGACAAGATATTCAGCCATAAAACGAAGATTTAAAATCATTAATCATTCAAATTCATCATGCAAAAAGCAGGTATGCAGAAACATGAAAAAACAGCCTTGAAATCGAAACCCTAGCTAGTTTTTTCCCAAGGCAGATAATAGAACAAACCAAAAACTTCAGACCTGTACGGCTCACTGCAGTACTGGCACAGCTTTCCGGTTGTGGAGAAGATGATGAGGCCGATCTGAGCATCACAAAGCACAGAAAGCTCGTGCGTCTTCTTCAAAAGTCCGGCTCTTCGCTTCGAGAACGTCACCTGTCGAGTCGTCTGGTTCTCTATCCTCTTGATCGCTATCTTCCCACGTCCCATAATTATATCTAAAGATCAAAACAGACTATATACTCTTTTTTTCAACAAAAAGAAAAAAAACTAGTGTAAACCAGCAGAAAAAAGGGTTGCAAAAAAGCAAATAATAATGGAAAGTAAAAGCTTCTTTCTGGAACTTAAAATAACAAAAGTTTGTTTTATAGTTTGCAATAAGTTGATAAACCCAGGAAGGGAAATGGAAGATGAGAAAGATGATGAGTCCTCTGTGTGGGTAAAATTACCTATGTTGCTTGCTTGTAAATCTGCAGCTCTTCGGTGTATGAACGAGGAATTTATTCTCTTATCTCTATACGCTATTTACTTTAGTTTTTCGTTTCCTAAAAACCCCATCCTCTTCCTATAAAACTACACAACTGCACCAAATATATCTGTTGAATTGATTACTTTACTTTGAAAAAAAATAATATTTAAAAGTAATTATTTTATGTCTTTATTTTGACAAAAAATAATTTTAAATATTTATTTTGATCAAGAGATATTTTACATACTTAAATAAAAGAAAATATATTTTAGACACTTATTTATGATATAAACCTTACCGTTATTTAAAATTTAAACCTTAATTGTTAAATTATTTTAGAGTGATGTACATTAGATGTCAGTGAATTATATAAAAGTATTTTTTTTCAATTAATCATTTTTTAAATATTTTAAAATAATTACTAAAATTGTAAAATAATTATAAAATGGTCTCATAAACGTTAAAATAATAATTTTTTTTATAAATTTAAGGATTATATATAATAGTTCCATAAGTTTAAAGATCATCTAAACATTTTGTTAATTAATCTTAATGATTATTTTATAATCATTTAAAAATTAAATGATTATTTATAATATTTAAAAGATTATTGACTAAAAAGAATATTTACTAACGATTTTAAATGGAGTAGGAGTAGTGGCATTATCAGTAATTTAACAGCAACAAGCGACCCTTTATTGTCAAAAGGTGAAACAAAGACATAAGGGGGTGTCGTGGGTGTGAGCCTTAACCACTCTTCTGGCAAGCAACCTGAAGTTTACCAAAATTAGAAATTTCTTTTACAGTGAGTTGAAAACTATGACAATCTAAAAATAGAAAATTTATGAAAGTGGGGCCCATCGAAACCCAAATGGGTAACGACAAACTGTAACAGATCCCATGACTATGACTTCCTTGCTATGCAATGCATTGACAGCTTCATGGTCTGGTTCATAATTACCTGAGGATAAATCAATTAGAGGTAAAAGTGAGAAAAGTAATATATCTTTTTTACCTTAAAGCTCCGAGTGGAAAGGTTTTTAAAAATTTAATTATTATGTTATATTGTTGATTAATTATATAATTAGATATTTTTGGGTAAATTACACTCATAGCCATTGATTATGCAGAAATTTCAATTTGACATTCGATCTTTCAGTTTTATCAATCATATAACTTAATTATTTAAATAATATCAATTAAGCCATAGTCCATTACTATTTAATAAATAAGTTGATGTGATAGTTAACAATTTTTTTATAATTAAATATTTGATCCATAACAGTTACGTAAGATACTTATTAAATCTATCAAATTATTATCGAATAGTCACTAAATTTTATCGAAATGTTATAAAGTTATTATTGAATTTGTCCGAAATATTATAATTATTATAACTTAGCAGCTAGTATTTTATAATAATTTGATAAATTCAATGATTATTTTATAATTTTTAGAAAATTAATGACTAAAATAATTATTTAGACATAATTTAATTACTTTTAGTATACTCTACCAAATTTTAAATTCATGTAATGATAAAAATAAAATTTTGAGATTTGAAAGTCTCAGGATATGTTTGTTTACTTCAAAATAATTAAGCGCTGAATGATTCAAATACTATTTATAGTAAAAAGGCAAATGCATACAAGGTTTTCTAAAAGAGGAAACCACTAGGCATCGGCATTGGTCCCCCTTTAAGTTTTGTCCCACCATTATTACATTGCTCGTCACCATCATCATATCTCACTTACCTCACCATAGACTGTAGTTACCTGCCATGTTCACCATCGTTAACACATATCACCCACATAATAATATCGTATTCGATCGTAATTCGAAATCAAACGGATTAAATATCGACATACAATAAACATTAATTCCAATATTCGAATCTAAATACCATCTAAATTTATAAAACTAAAAAAGATAGACCAAATATTTATAAATATCTAAATCTACGATCATAATTATCATCTCGGATAACGATTTAAGTTTATGTTCATTTCTTAATCTCCGAGTTAGAAATGAAATAATAGAAACGAAGGTGGGAACATGGGGGCTTACCTAAAATGGGAAGAGTTGCAGAAGCGGTTTAAGGTCCCAATTCAACCCTAAATTAGGGCTGAGATTTCACATGGAGCTTGCCACCCACCTACAATTTGCATCATCATCGTCATTACCATTAAATAATGCAAAAGGGTTGCCTCAAAGAGAGATTATTCTATTATACTTATAATGCTCAAACCTTGGTCAGATTTCTTCCTTATTGTGGTTGTTGGTGATATGGTGGTAACGTGGTTACGGATGTTATGAATATTATGCAATCTGATATGATTTTGTAAACATGAATGTGATATTATCATAAATATTAATGATTAAGAAAATATGATACACATATTTTTAATACTTTTGTGATGATCGTATTTTATAAATATGAAACGCTCCAGGTTGCATCAAAACCGATAGATCCGAGATGGTTCCGGATGGACGATTGTTTCAAAGACAAGTCTAGTGGTGGAACAGCAACCATGCCAATACCGGTATAGTACTGCAATTCCCCGGGTACAAGCTATTGTTCGACAGATTCAAGTACCACAATGGTGAATTTGGGGTTAGATTAGAGGTCGTGAAAATCGATCATGATGCGAATCCACACTTGATTGAGAAATACAAAGTGTACGGATTGCCAACGTTGATATTGTTCAAGGATGGGCATGAAGTGGCAGAAAGTAGGAGAGAAGGTGCGATTACAAAGGCCAAGCTTAAAGAGTATGTTGATTCTCTCTTGGAGACAATTTCTGTTGCTTAACATTTTGTTTTGCCCTGTTTGGTAGCATGTTTGATATTTGTTGTATAATTTGTGGACTATAAAATACCTGGAATTAGGTATATATGAGTAAAATTGAATGCTATATTGCTCCATTTCTTCTTATTTTCCAAAAAAAAGAATTATTGGTATTAAATTCCTCTTATATTTTGTGTTTTTAATTTTTTATTAGAATCCTCATGTTTGAAGCATGTTCTATGAGTGTGCATATATCCATAGAAGTTTGGTTCTCCATGAAACCTGAAATATTTACCTTTGTCAAATACATATTCATAACTAGGTTAAGTTCCGTGCTATCAGGATTTTTCTGTTCTTCTTGTGATATCTGTTCCATACATTTTTATTCACCGCATATTCAAAAATTGATATGAAGATATGAATTTTCGAACATGCAAAAGAACCTTTTAAAAAATTAAGCATACTTACATCCGGGGCTGACCTCTATTCAACATTCATCTTCAAGTATAGGTAATAGAGAGAAAATGCACGTTTATAGCATAGTTTCCATTTAGATTGTAGATGCATGGACTTGTCCTCTTGCACATATCTATTTTTGGGTTAAGAGTAGTGTTTTGATTACAACCATATACTTTCAAGGAATCATGATTCAAAATTAGTTTCATTTCAGTAATACAAATTAGAAAACGATTATGATTGGTATTAATCTTTGGTTTATTCGTTGTATATAGAACCATAGAAGGATAGTATAAACACTGAAATTTTGGATGAATGGTCAGCAATTGGAGTACAGTAAGATTTTTTTTTTCTTTTCATAAGATTGGTAAGGCTCTTCCGTTATGCATCGTGTTTTGTTTATGTATGTATATATATGCCCATAACTGTGCTGGAATTTCACCACAATATGAACATCAATGTGTTATATAGATTTTGCCTTTCGGGTCATGTTTGTGTATTTGTCTCATGTATGTGTTTCATTTGTGTTGTGTCGTGCTTTAATTACCTTTTAGGTGTTGTGTTCATGTCATGTATTGTTGTATGATGACATTAATTCCAGTGAGGTGTTGTAAGAATGGAGAGGACGAGGTGAGACTGTTCTTCCATCGGTGATCCCACCTTCTTGGGCAGCTTCACTGGCATTGATAATGCCATGATAGCTAAGTAGTTAAAGGTCATTTGCTTATGAAATCCTAAATTTATCACTTCATACATGAAAGTGCAAGGAAGCAATATACATGGAATAATAATCTTACCCTAAACTTAAGAGTCACACTAAAAACAAAATAAAATCAAGAATTGAATATAAAGGTAGCAATAAGTGCTTGTGTATGTTAATATTTCATATGTAAATATTTGAATGGAAATATGATTTTCAAGTAAGTGAGAATTTGATTGTTAAAAAGGTAACATTGCCAATCGCCATGAAAAAGTGCTTGTGGGGGGGGGGGGAAAGCAGCATGCTGAAACTGGCATGATTGATGTTTCACCATTATCTCTTTGTGGGGGAAATTTCAGCTTGCTTGTCCAATACTGTTTGAAATTGGTCGATGTTCGATATAATCATCTCTCGGGAATCATCTTCAATCTATCAGTTTTAATACAATTACGAGCGTTTCTTGTGGGACGACCAATTATGTCAAGTGCAAAGGATACATTTCTTGCATTTGTCAAACAATGGATTGTCAAGCTTGAGAATTATTATTTACATCTCTACTGGTTCTGCATAATTATGCTTTCATGAGAACCATGAATACAGTTGACATGTCTCTTACTATATTGTTGTACCTAAGGTTTAAAGAAATAAACATTTCAATATAAACAAGTTCCGTTTTAGTCTAGCTGGTTAGGATAGTCGGCTTTCACCTGAGATATGGGGCTTCAGTCAACATTAAAGCCACTCCCTGCATTACAAAAAGCTGATAATACATCCAAACACAAGTTTCTCCGGAGACAATCGAAGATCATCGGAAATTTCACCGCAGATTAAATATTGATCCTCCATGTGCTGACATAGAAACTATATTAAACCCATTGCATCCATACTGGTACTGTAAGATTGCAGGTCAATCACATAATTACTAGATGAACAAGTGATGTACTGCTCATACTTTACTTCAGAAGGAACAAAGGCACCCGGATGATAATTGTCTGATCGACATTGGTCGATCTTTAATCCAGCAGGATGGCTACTTGTTTCTTTATGCTCTGAGAATCAATCAATGAGAATAGATTGCAAGTGAAATTTTACAGTC